GAGCCGCCGCCGTCGGGGCGCGCGGGGCTCCGGGAGAGGAGCGCCATGCGGAAGCAGAGCGCGCGCACGGCCGCGCTCGTCGCGTGCATCCTGTCGTACCTGCTGGTGGGCGCCGCCGTCTTCGACGCGCTCGAGTCCGAGGCGGAGCGCGGCCGCCAGCGCCTGCTGGCCCAGAAACGCGGCGAGTTCCGGAGGAAATACGGCTTCTCGGCCGACGACTACCGCGAGCTGGAGCGCCTGGCCCGGCAGGCCGAGCCGCACCGAGCCGGCCGCCAGTGGAAGTTCGCCGGCTCCTTCTACTTCGCCATCACCGTCATCACCACCATCGGTGAGCCGCGCGCGCGGCGCCTCCTCCGCCTGACCCCCCCAGCCCCCCTCCCCAGCCCGCCCGCCCCACGGGGCTGCCTGCCCACCTCTGCCCCTGCCCCGGGCCACTTTGGACGGGCAGCCCGGGCGCTGGGAGTCCTCCCTCCCCTCCCCCTCGCGGCTGATGGGCGCTGTCGGTCCACCGAGGCAGGGATGGGGGGGGCAGATGGACGCACGCACCGGGAGGGGGGGCGGACGACCCACCCCTGAGCTGAGTCCCGGCCCCCTGTCAGCCAGAGCCAGCGCTCCCCTGGGTGAACTTAGGCTGCTAATGGACCCATCTCAGGGCTGTGGGGAGATCGTGGTCCCCAAAGAGGTCAGAGATGCAGGAAGGTTCGGCTCGGGGCCTGGCACATAGAAAACAGAGTTGGCGTTTATACTCTGTGACAGCAGAGACCTTGTCTGTCTTCCTCACTTGCGCGACTTAATACATGCTCAATAAACAGTGGCTGAAGGAATGCCACGAACGTTGGAGCTCCCCCCGGGGGCCCCGGAGCAGCCCTCGGCCGGCAGCCTCTGCACGGTGGGTTGTTGCTGTGACTACCTCCTGCCTGGCACCCGCGAAGCCCAAGCGATAGAGAAAGGCAAAGCAGGCAAACAGGCTCCATCAGGGCACCCGGCTTGGTGCCAATCACCCAGGTGTCCCCTTGGGCTCCCACCCCTGATCTGGAAGCCGGTACCTTGGAGAGCGTTTCTCCGAGGGGCTGTCACAAGTGAATGGCCGCTGTGGACTGAGGGTGTGTGTGTGTGTGTGTGTGTGTGTGTGTGTTGGGGGAATCTGTGGTCACTCGGGCAGGTCTGAGCAAAAGGTAACAGTTAGTTGTTCAGCCTCACTGAATGGTTCCAGGTTCCAGGGAGGTCATGCCTGTAAAAGGTATGGCCTGGTGCCTGAAGCTAAGTAGATGCTAGTACTTAGTGTTCATTAGCAACAATAATTATTTGCCAACAATCGTCCTTAGCCCCCATTTAGCCCTTTTGCCTCTTTCTGTCCCTCTGGGCACCCTTGCCCCCTTATCTTGGCTTAGCCCGTCATCTTCCATCTTGTGGTGCCCACAGATACCTTGTCCCTCTGCCTCCTCTTCTGCCCTTCCCCACTTTCTTGGGAAGTTCCTGGGTTTGTCTTGCCTGGTCCCTTCTCTATGCCTCTCAGACAACCTGGGAAAGAGGCTCTGAGAAGAGACTGGGGTTTTTCCTTTTTATGGCCACTTGGGGGTGCTACCACCTGCTGTGTGGTTCTGTCTGCTTCAGCCAGCCTGGCACAGTCAGGCCCCGGGCCCAGGAGGAGTTGTGGAGGACAGTGGCTGAGGAGTTAGGGAGCATAGTGGTTCAGACCTCAGACCTTGGGACCGTGGGGCAGCTTCTGCCCTCTGTGCCTAACTTCTTTAACTGTAAACTGGGTTAATAATGGCAGCTCCTGTAGTCACAGAAAGGGCTAAATGAGACAATACACATGGAGTACCCCTGTGTTTGGTTATTAATTCATTTCACTTTCTGCCTAAACCAGGTCTACCTGAAAGGACCTGGGGAAACAGTGCTTCCTGTCTTCTTAGTACTAAAGCTTTCGTCTCAACTTGGTTTAAGTCAATAACTCTTCCTGGAGCTCTTAGTCTGTGTCTCGGTGCAGGGCACTGGTGAGTGAGGGGACATACAGAAGTGGCCACCTTGGCCCCTTCCCTCAAGGTACTCAAAGTCTGGTGATGGGTGAAGCACGCCCTCCTCCTCCCCCCACCTAGCAAATTGCTAGGGCCATGCCCTGGCAATATGGAGATACTGCTACAGGTCTTCAGATAGATGTTGTGTCCATACCCAATCCTGTTTTGGACTGGTTATTTTGAAGATGGAGTCTAGGGAACTTTTCTACAGGAGTCATACAGGCTTTGAACCACAGTCCTCCAGATAGATCTCAGCCTCCTGAGTAGCTTGGATTATAGGCATGACCCCTACACCCTGCTATGATGTACTTTAATAATATTCAGCCTACAATTTTTTTTCTTCTCCTTACTCTTTCCCTTGGCAACCTTCCTCTTCCCAGATAAGTCCCTATCTACCTTCATGACTTACGGTTTTAATCTGGACTCCATAATGAAAGAAAAGGTGGTATTTGTCTTTCTGAGTCTCCATCTTGTCTTTTAACCCATAAGTTCCTTTCCCTAGATCAAATATAGTTACTTCTTTCTTTTGTATCCTCCCAGCTACATTCTTGGCCTATACATGCCTCTAAACACAATACACGTTATATAGACATTACGGTACACACAGTCTTGTCTCTTGCTTTCTTTTTTGCTTGATATATTTTGTTGATGTTTTCCTATCAATCCCCAAAGAGCTCCCTCATTCCCCCCTGCTGTACAACAAGGCTGCTGCTGCTTCTTCTCTTTCTTCTCTTTTTTCTTCTTCTTCTCCTCCTCCTCCTTCTTTCTTCTTCGTGTGTGTGTGTGTGTGTGTGTGTGTGTGTGTGTGTGTGTATTGGTTACTGGGCCTGAGCACCATCCCTCAGCTCTTTAGCTGAAGGCTAGCACTTCTACCACTTGAGCCACAGTGCCACTTCCGGCTTTTTCTGCTTATGTAGTGATGAGGAATTGAACCCAGGGTCTCAAGCATGCAAGGCAAGCACTCTGCCACTGAGCCACCTTCCCAGCCCCAGCAAGGCTTCTTAACCTGGGAACTTCTGCATACTGGGTGGATTCTCACAAAGGGCACCTGTGGTCTAACTACAGACCAAGAGAAAATAAGGAGGCTGAAATCTGAGGATTGTGGTTCAAAGCCAGCCCAGACAGCAAAGATAAGAGTCTCAGACTCTTATCTCCAATTAAATCACAGAAAAAGCCAGAAGTGGTTGTGTGGCTCAAGAGGTCAAGTGCTAGCCTTGAGCAAAAGATGCTCAGGGACAGCATCCAGGCCCAGAGTTCAAGCCTCAGGCCTGGCAGAGAGAGGGAGGAGGGGGAAAGGAAGGGAGGGAAATGGAGAGACAGAGAGACAGAGACCAAGGAGCCTTTTACTTGTATCTCCTCTGTGTGGTGGTGGCCGTGGGGGACTCTGCTCTCCTTTTGTATTTCTCCCTGTTTCCCCTGCTTTATTAAATAAATCTTTGATAAACTGAAAAAGAGAACATTTCCCCCACCCTTCCCCCGATCCTTCATGCCCTTTTCTAGTTAACCCCTCTTCCAAAACCAAGGACTGGCAACCACAGGCTGGCGGTCTGTCTCCTTGACTGTGCTGTTTCCAAAATGTCCTTTCAAAGGGACCATACAGCTTGTCCTTGGGGAGGGGCTTGGCTTCTTCTGGGTTGGTTTTTGAGACAGAGTTTTCCTATGTAGTCCAGGCTGGCCTGGAACTCACCATTCTCCTGCTTCTGTCCCCCAAGTGCTGGGATTATAGGTATGTTCTCCACCATTCCCATGTGAGCAAGTTGTTTTTCCTTCTCCAGCAGGGGGGGGGCTCTTTGGGGGCTGTTTGCGACCTGGGGCAGCTGTGAATAACCATGCAAGGCTTTGGAGCCAGGAATGGCCTGATGGGACCCAGTGTTGAAGATGGTCAGCGCTGGGTCGGGCCTGGGGTATGGAGGGACTGGAAGGGACTGTATTGCCTGGGGCTGGGCGTTCACCAGATTCTCCCTGCTCCCTCCCCACACAGGGTACGGCCACACGGCGCCGGGCACGGACTCAGGCAAGGTTTTCTGCATGTTTTACGCGCTCCTGGGCATCCCGCTGACCCTGGTCACCTTCCAGAGCCTGGGCGAGCGGCTGAACGCGCTGGTGCGACACCTGCTGCTGGCGGCCAAGCGCTGCCTGGGCCTGCGGCGGCCACGCGTGTCCACCGAGAACATGGTGGTGGCCGGGCTGCTGGCGTGCGTGGCCACCCTGGCCCTCGGGGCCGCCGCCTTTGCGCACTTCGAGGGCTGGACCTTCTTCCACGCCTACTACTATTGTTTCATCACGCTCACCACCATCGGCTTCGGCGACTTCGTGGCGCTGCAGAGCGACGAGGCGCTGCAGAGGAAGCCGCCCTACGTGGCCTTCAGCTTCCTCTACATCCTGCTGGGGCTCACGGTCATCGGGGCCTTCCTGAACCTCGTGGTCCTGCGCTTCCTGGCCAACGCGGATGCGCCCGGCCGTGCCCCGCCGCCCCGCCGGGGGGCGCGCGCGAGCCGCCACCCAGCCAGGCCTGGAGGCGCCACCTGCATCTCCCAACGCGTCTGCCGGCTGGAGATGTGGGCCTGCGACAACCTGGGCTTCTCTCCCCCCTCCAGCCCCGTGGCAGTGCGTGCCATCCAGGCGGACAGACCCCAGGCGAGACGGAAGTCCATCTGACATCCATACCCAAGCTCAGTCCCACCTGGATGGTTCCCTGTGCCAGTACTGGAGCTTGGAGAGTGGTCAGGGAGCCTCATGGCTCTCTTCTACTACAAGCAGTTGCTCCTTGTCTCCTGCTTTCCAAAAACATATTCATACCATGTGATAGGAGCCAGGCACTTGGTGACTCACACCTGTAATCCTAGCTACTCAGGAGGCTGAGCTCTGAGAACTGCAGTTCAAAGCCAGCCCAGGCAAGAAAGTCCATGAGACTATCTCCAATTAACCATCAAAAAGCTTGAAATGGAGTGGTGTCTCAAGTGGTAGAATGCCAGCCTTAAGTAAATGAAACTAAGGGACCCTGAGTTCAAGCCCCAGTACTGAAACAAAATAAATAAAAATAAAAAGTGAGAAACGAAGGTAGATGGAGTTGATCAGACTCCAGTCAACCTTAGAAGTACAAGTTCTGGGTCCAAACTGCTTTAGGAAGATGTAGTCACATCAGCCTAGGAGAATTACTGCCTGGGTCCACGTCACTAGCTGGCCCATCACAGCTGAATCAAGCGGCTGTATTTCTTTTGAGGTATTTCTACCTTGCAGGGAAATGTACAGCTTCCAGCATTGGAGTCCATGGCCAGAAGCTCATACTGGAAGAATGACAGAAACAGACTGAACTGTCTACCTACTGTCCGCTGTTTATGGTGGACAATCACTGCATTATTTAAAAGAACTGCCCCCTCTGTGGTGAATGATTGTCCCCGCCCAGAAAACTGTTTGTCCTGGGCCACACCTACTTCCTGATGAAGAAACCTGGCTGAAAGCTTGGAGTCTTTCAGGCCCCACATTGCTGTGGACTAAACCTCATGCTACAACCTGCCAGTCACCAGCAATGTACCCTGCAATCCTCATCGACTCTGTCTGGGCCTCAGTTTCCACATTAGTAATTAGATTACGTGGTTTGTCTGCAACTCTGCTCTCTCCTGGACATCTCTAGCAGGATTTTCCAGGACAGGCCTCCTAGGGGGTATTAACGAAGCCTGAGGTGGGGCATCCAGGGGTCCTCACCCCTGAAAACACCAGTATCCCTGTGTCCCCAAGTAGACTCATCTCAGAACAAAGCAAGAGCAAGCCAGGTTAGAAAAGCCAAAAACTTTAATTTTCAACATGAGCTACATGGTCATGAACACGATGTGACCCACAATGCAATGCGACCTGCTCCAACCCAGGGGGCCCCAGAAACCCTCCCTCCCTGAAGGCCCAGGGTGGGCTCCTGCTCCTGGAGAGGACCTAAGGGAAAGGTGGGGTGGGTGGAAGGAGGCCCAGCCTGAGGGCCCTCCTGCCCCCTTGCAGGAGGCGGTCTAGAGCAAGAGGGTGCCGAGGTAACACGTAGGCGCATTTCCAGCCTCCACTCAGCCCTCACAGGTGCCCTGGGTAAAATGAACAGCAGCAGCCGGGCCCTTGGGGGGTTTATCACGTGAGCTTGTGGACATGACATGACACTTTCCATCCACAGAGGGGCTGCTCTGCAGATGTGGCCCTCCCAGAGGGCAGAGGAACCATTACAGGGGCAGGAGGGGGACTCGGGCCCCTGGGCCTGGCACAGCAGTGCTGCTCAATAAATAAATGCAGGTGACCTTGCCTGGTGCAACAGCTGTGCCTTGGGAGGGCATGGGGCGCTGCGCTGTTTCTGAACCCCAAAGCACACCAGGAGCTCCTGGTTGGAGGAACTGAGAGGTGAGAGGCAGGAAGCACATAACCACCCTGCTAAACTGTCTGGTGACCTGGGTGAAAGAGCAATGGACTCTGGATTGCTGGAGACACACATGTGGTCCTGGTGCAGCCATGCTGACGGGGCCTTTGCAAGCGCTTGCTTGTCCTGGACCTCCACTGCCCACTCCTGACAGCAGGGCTGACAAAGAACTAGGACTCCCTCCAGCTTCTTCCCTGGGGCTCCTGTGAGGGTCAGGGCACAGCCCGGCAAAAGCACGGTGCAACAGAAAGTGTGGAAAATACTGCCAGTGGCTGGGCCTCACTTCTGAAGGCCGGAGGGATGAGGATTTTCCTAGATGGGGCCACACCCCAGACCACCCCCCCCCAAAACACACACACAGCTCAGCCTCAAACCATTTCTTCACACCCTCTAGCTGCTTCTAGTCGAGTTATAGCTCCAGGACAAGACTCCCCACCCACCCGTGATACCCTAGAGCAAATCCCGTTGCCACAATCAACTGAGGAGACCCCAGTCCCCCTGGCAACTCCCTTCTCCAAGTCCCAGCAGACACTGGTCTGGTAGATGGACCCAGGCAGGAATGTAGCGCCCAGAAAACACTGATGGTGGCAGACAGATTAGGGCCCAGGAACAGAGTCTGCACTGCAGGAAAGAAGTGCAATGGAGCCCCTAGTTCTGCTCCCCGTGGCTCAAGCCCTGAAGGGCCTTGAGCCCATCACTTCCTGCTTTGAGCTCTCATTTCTTAACCTCTCGGGGGCTACAACTTGTTCTGCTCATACTTGGTGGGGCGGGGGGGGGGCACTAGGAGACTCTAGGAGGCTCTGAAGAGATGGAAGAAGGGCAAGATGCAGTCCCTCTTACCCCTCCCTGGCTCCAGCTCAGTCAGATGCAAAGAGACTCAGGTTGGGGTGCCACTGCATCCCCAGGTGACCCCAGGGTGGCTCTTCCCAGGCCTGGCATCTGTAAAATGGAAATGGACTAAAGGTCTCCCAGGCCCCCAGTAAAGAAAAAGTGCTCTGGGGGACAGAAAGTGGAGAGAGCCTCCCCTCCCCCATGCCAGCCTGCATGGGACCTCTACCCAGAGACAAGAAAGAATTCTCCCAGAGACCCCACCCTCTCTGCCCCTTTCCTAGTGGTGGAATCTGAGCTTAAAGTGTCCCCAAAGCTTGTGGTGAAAATAGTGGCTTCCCTCCTGACACCCCTCTCTTGGTGAGGACAGAAATGGTTCCTACCCCCCACGGTCACGGCCCCTTGGAAGGAGAAGCACAAGCTCACGATGATGATACGAAGAATCAGGGCTCCAGCCCCCACCCCACCCCTCCAGGAGGTGAGGGAGATTTCACAGAACGAACACAAACGTCAATGAGGGGGATCCTGGGCACCACCCCCAGGGTGTTGTTATTGCTTTGGAGCGTTCTCAGTCTCTGCCTCTCTTGAGCTCTGTGTAGTCGCAGATGCTCCAGGAAGGGCTCAGGCTGAGAGGACCAAGTCAGAGCTGAGCCCCCCACCCCCCTTCACCCTGCTTGGGATGCCCAGGCTCTGCCCCACTCCTGCACAACTACAGCAATGATGCTGGAGAGAAAAGGCGCTCTCTTGGCCCAAAATATTCCAATTAGTGAGTATTAAACAAGCAGCAATCACACTGGTTAAAAAAAAAAAAGTAGGGGAGATGCTGACTATAGCCTTTGATGGGGGCCCACTGGAGCCCTGCTCCCTCCTCTGGACCCTAGCCATGGCGGAGCTCAGAAGAACAGCTGGCTGAGAAGAGTCCATCTCCATCTCCCCTTCCCTGGGTACCCAAGAGGCTGCATGGAGGTGACAGAACTCCATTAGAACATTAAAGGTCACCCAGGGATTAGCCGAGCTAAGGGACTGGGAGAATTTCTAAGTGGAAAGAATCCCTGGTGGACCAGGAGTGAAGGGCCAAACAGCCCAGGTCTCCTCTGTGGAAAAAACGACGCTCTCTAAGGCCAGCCCAGGCCCTCTCCTCCCGGCCCAGCAACTCTCAGAGGTGCCTTGTAAGGAAAACCAGGGCCAAAGATAAATCAGAACAGTGAGTATCATGGGGATGTGGGGTGGAGGGGGAGGGAGGGTATACAATCCTACAGGAAAGGGAGAAGGAAGGGGAGGAAGAAGGGCTGGCCTCCGCAGGCTGCCTGGTCCAGCCCAGGCCAGCCAGAGACTGCAGTCTCCTGGAATGTATGGGGTTTCCTCTCCCCACCCCTGGCTTGGGACTTGGGAAAAGACTACTTCTGAGCTAAGAATAGGCCCCAGGATGTGAACACTAACTACCTAGCTAACCTGGACTACGCCCTACACAGCAGGGACTAGGTGAAGAGGATGGCAGGCTGGTGGTGCCTCCTAGGGGAGGTGGCAGAAATGTGCTTCTATAAAGAGGGGCCAGCCTGCCACCTCCGGCATGCAATAAGGGTTCCCACAGGTCCCAGGGAGGGCCGTGGGGAAGGCAGCTACCCAGGCCTCCCGACGGACGCTCAGCTCCGCTCTCCCACTCCTTCCCCCCACCATCTCTCCTGGAGCCAAGGTGACTGAGGCCAGGGCATGGGTTCTGCCCTTAGTACAGAATAAGTTATTTAAAAAGACTAAAATAGGGAGGGGGGCTCGAATGGCTCCCCACTCTCTTAGCCTGGAGGCAGAGGGGTAGACAAGATGACCTTTGACTTCATTCACAAAGGAGTGGCTCTCCTATTTGCCTTACTTTGGCACCACCGGTCCCAACCTCAGTTTTCCTCAGCCTTCCTTCTGTAGCCTCACAGGTCCTCAATGCTGAGACAGTGAGCTCCCTGGGTGTGGGGTTCTGGAAACTCAGGGTCCCACAGCAATTCTCTACCAAAACACAAGTGACACTGTCCTTTCCGGGTCCTAGACCAGCAAAGCAAGGCACCCTGGGAGTCTACCAGCTTCAGACATCTCCTTTCCTTTGGTCCCTGCTGGCCCCTGGCTCCTACAACCACCAGGAGAGGGGCAGGCAGGAAGGGATGGACAGATGGACTCAGACAGGCTGCGGCAAAGCTCCTTCCATGGGCAGGCAGAGGGAAGCCAGAGCTCCTCTTCAAGTAGGGGGCTCCGGACCCCCGGGAGCTGGCTCCGGATCCTTGCAAAGCTGCCCGTCAGCTCCAGGGCAGGAGCAGCTGCCTGACCCCGGTGCCGCAGGAAAGACACTTGCTGGTAATTGGCACCATGGAGATGGCCGGCTGGGTTCTGGACTTGGCTCCGGGCAGCAAGCTTCCAAGGAGGTGATAGGGGGTCGGGTGGGACAGTGTTGGGGCGGGTGAGCGCATTGCTCACCCACCTCAGTCTTTCTCCATTCGCAGCCAAATCCACCAGGTCTACACCGGCCAAGTCAAAAGTGCAGCCAACCCATAGGGAAAGGGAAGGTGTCAGGGGTATGAGGCAAAGAGGGGTGAGGAGGGGCTCCAGGGGGGGCAGGTCTCCCCATTCCACTTCCCCACAGTGGGGGAGAACCCCATCCTCCTCTGTCCAATGTGCCTCTGGGACTGGGGTCCCAGGTCAGGGCTGGGCAGTCTCCAGGCCATCTTGGGGAGCCCTTCCCCCATCCCTGGCACTAAGATCGCTCACCACAGGGCCCTACGGTGCTCTCCAGGGACAACTGGGATGCCTGCCGGAGCAGGGGACCTGTGGCTGGGTCCACCATGGAAGAGGTGGGGAAGAGCTTGTACCAGCCCACGGCCAGGGTGGTCAAGTCCAGCTCCTCCAGCAGCACGCGGGCCACACCCATGAACTGCTTCCGCTCCATCCGCCCGTAGTTTCCCCACACGATCACCTGTGAGGCAAGAGACACCGAGTTCAAGACTGGTCCATGCCTCCCACAGACCCAAGGCCAGAGCCTGGGGTCCCCTTGGCCAACTCGCCTGAATCCTGTAGACTCTACCTCCTTAAAATAGCTCTCAATTCAACTGTATTTTTCCTGGCTGCTATGTTCCTGTGACTGCTGGCCAAGATGTCGGGTTTGTATCTTCAGTCTTGTCCTCTTGGTTCCATCCTCCACGCACCCTATCTTTGAACCTAAGCCTTAAAGGATGATCCCACATCAGGAGTCGCATTTCCCCATTGGCCCACTGCTTCTAAAAGCTCCAAAAACCCATGAGGAACAAAGTTTTACCAAGTGGCTGACATGTTAGCCTCCTTTCTCCATCTAATTAACCTTTCTTTTCCTCCCTCCCTCCCCGCCCCCCACCTTTCTTGTTGGTCCCTGAGCTCTTTTGCTCAAGGCTAGTGCTCTACCACTTTAAGCCACAGTGCCACTTCGGGTTTTCTGGTGGTTCATTGGAGATAGGAGTCTCTAGGGGGCTTTTCTCCCTGGGGCTGGCTTTGAACAGCGATCCTCAGATCTCAACCTCCTGAGTAGCTGGGATTATAGGCGTGAGCCACCGATGCTAACCTTGTTTGTGTAGGGCCATTCACTGTCCTGGTTACCAGAGGACAGTTCCAGTGAGTAGCCTGTCTAGCTGCAGGACTCTCCCTTGCTGTCTTGTGACTCCGCTTCTAGCTTTGTCTCCCTTTACTGAGGTAGGCTGGCTCAGCCACTCAACAGAGCCTGGTGGCTTGAAACATGGCCCTCACAGCCTCGGAGTCTGTCACAAGACTCTAACTGACTCTGGTTCTTTTGTGCTTTTTGGTGTTGAAGAGGGGATCTCACTGTGTAACTTAGATCTTGAATTTGAGATCCTCCTTCCTGTCTCTGCCTCCCAAGTGCTAGAATTACAGGCACATACTACTATGTCTAGCTCTCTGCCTGTAGGTTTTTTTTCTTTTAATATATATTTTCTCTATCTCTTAAGTAGTTGGACCAAGGAGTTATCCCTCAATAAATCAGTTTATGAGTACAATGCATCCTGATCAATATCACCCCTTTCTTTCATCATTCTACTTCTCTCCCAACCCAACCTTTCCCCTCAATTTTGCTAATCTCATGCACTGAATATGACAACCTCACTTAGCCCAGTGTTTATGGTTGTAAATGGAATGATATCAGATCAGCTGATCTGAAAGGATCAAAGGAGGGAGAGGATGCCAAAGTCCTGGTAGGCTGTCTGCTGCTTTTTAACCACAAAGAGGGCTGGCTAGGGTCTACTGCGGGTCTCACAGGGACACTACTATACATAGAATGAGCCCATGTCACAGCTGTCATTGTCTAAACTGAGGCACAGAGAGATGACATCATCAACTCAGGCCATCAGGACTCAACTAAGTCCTCAGTGCTCCTCAGGCAGCTGGTGAGCAGCAGATTCTGATGTACATATACAAGTGTTTTCACTGGTGACATGGGCTAACCTGTGTCCCCATAATTCATAAGCACTAGGACCTCCAAGTGTATTTGGGAACTGGGCCTTTAAAGAGGTAATTAAGTTAAAATCAGGCTGTTAGGATGGGCCCGTCTGTTCTGATTGGTGTCCTCAAACAAGAAGGTAATTTAGTAACAGAGAGGGAGAGAGAGACTCGGGGTGCCACACATGGTAGGTCTGCACCTAGCGTAAGGACCCAATCCATGTCAGTGTTCCGTTTCCATGTCTTCTCTACATCCCAAGGGCCAGAATGCCCAAACTTCCATCCGGCAGGCAGCACCCAGCCCTGGTGGTCTTCTGGCCATTTTCTATAGTGTTTGAATACTTTCAGGCTAGCAGGGGTTTCCAGGCAGTTTTGATAGCAATAGAAATTAATTCACCACCTCCATCCCCCCCAGCACACACACAGAATACATGACAAAAGTGCCCACAATGTAATACCCACCTTAGTAAGAGCAATAAACATCTCATTTTTATGCCTTTTCCCCATGGGGCTAGGGATGGAACCCAGGGCCTCATGTCTACTGTCTATCTGAGCAAGGACTTTCTGCAAGCCATGTGCTCAAATGCCCCATTAAAAAAATGCTTCTTGAGACCTACTAAAATTCACTTTACAAGTCACAGTGGTTCTCAACCCACAGGCCAAAAATCTCTGCCCTAGATAGGATCTGGGTTTCCCACATTCAAAGACTCTGTGGTGGCAACTTTAACCCCCTGGCTCCGTTCTCACGGCTTTTCCCTGGTTGGAATCAATGGCAGAAGCAGACAGAGGTGCCTAGGTAGCAGCTGAGAGCAGGTACAGGGCTCTCATGGGCATCACCTGTCTGACCTGCACTGCATAGCTCTTTAGCTCCAGCCAGAGTGACCATCAACACCTTCGTAACAGCTGGAAACAGACCCTTCTCTGCAGGCCTCAACAGACTCATGCCATTACTGGGGGGGACCCAGGGCAAGCCCCTGGCTCCAGAGGTTGGTGATGACAATGATTGTGACATCTATTTGGAGAACATTCACTGCAGGCCAAGCTTGTAGGAACTCTTTTTATTTTTTATTTATTTTTGAGTCTTGAACTCAAGGCCTGGGCACTGTACCTGAGCTTCTTTTACTCAAGGCTAGCACTCTACCACTTGAGCCACAGAGCCACTTCTGGCCTTTTCTGTTTATGAGTACTAAGAAATCGAACCCAGGGCTTCATGCATGTTAGGCAAGCTCTCTACCACTAAGCCCATTCCCAGCCCCAGTGGGAACTTCTCACCCCAGCACCAGTACACCATTGTCATGGTAATGCCATCAGGCAAATGCTATCTGTGCCCAGTTCTCTAGATGAAGAAGCAGAGCTCAGAAGGGAGCTTGCTCACTCGGAAAGGGGCTTGCACACAGTGGCACAGGAAGATGTGGGCTTCATTCCCTCTAGGTGAGGCCCTTGGACACCCCTACCTTGATATCACACACACACACACACACACACACACACACACACACACACACACACATAAGTGACCCTCACCTGCAAGACTTTGCCCTGGGGACTCTCAGGAAACAGCAGCACCTGGTTGTACAGCGGGTCCAGCGACTTGCGAGCGACTTTGGTCTTCTTCTTGGCAATGCAGACGCCATTCTCCAATAGGTACGCCTTGATGTAGGCCGCTGGGGACAGAGGCCATTGGGCAACATTCTAGGCTGGCCCTCAAATGGTGGACAAAGGGCACCACAGAGAGGGCCACCACCGACTACTAGGGAAAGGATGCCGGGAGGAAGGGGCCTGTGGCCATTGGGGCAGGCGGCAGGGGCACTTCAGTCCTGCCCGCCTCCTCCTCCCCTTGCTCAGTTTCACCCCTGCCTTACATACTCACTGCTGATAACCCATTCAACACACGCTTACTGGGTGCCACTGGTAAACATGGTAGATGCCCTGCCTCCCAGGAGCTCAGCCCAGGGCGGAACCCATAAGGTTGACAGACAGGCTCAGCTGGGATCCCAGACAAGCCTTAAACCACCCATGGAAGACACTGGAGTTGGGGCAGAGGGTTTTCCATAGCTAGGCTGCATCCTCTCTCTCTGGATGCCCCTCAGGATGACCTCCCGGCCTCCACCCCTGCCTCGCAGAGGGGAGCGAGGCCCTCACCTGGCAGTGTCTTGGATCCTGGCTTGGCCGTCAGTCCCCGAGCCTGGATGATGTCAACTTCTAGCTGACCATTGCGCTCCTGCAAGCCGATCTCCACATCCCCTGAAAGGGGGAGCAGAGATGAGCATGGGGGACTGCTCGAGGCGTGCACAGGGCTCCTTCCTCCTCTGAGCGCCTTTCACCAGCCCCAAGGAGACCAGAACCAAACTCTGAAACCTGAGCCTGGGTTCTGTCGAGGGCTTGGCAGTGTGAGCCAGTGCTCAGAAGAGGGGAAGGGGAGAGAGATGCAGGGCCCTCGTCCATGTGTCCCTGGGGCACTTACCCATGGGGGTGGTGGCCAAGGTCTGGCGGCCCACAAACTGTGCTGGTCCCATGCTGCCCAGGAAGTCACTGAACTGAGCATCTGATGCCAGGCAGACTCCTCCATAGTTAAGGCTGAAAGATGAAAAGATACAACAATACAGAGGTTCCCAGGGGCTGACAGAAGTCTGGCAGGCAGGTCCAGAACGGCCTCCACTCCCTGGTGCTCCTGCCCGCACTCACCGGCAGCCTCTGGTTTACCTCCAGGAAGCAGATAGGCTGACCTAACCTCTTGGGGTGGCTGTAAGAATCATGGGAGACAGGGGTTGTCAACTGCTGGCTCATGTGGCTCAGTGCCTTGATATTCCAAGTGTGGTCCGGAGACTGGAGCTAATTAGAATCCCATCCCATCCACTACTGTGCCCTCCACTACTGAACACGAAGCCCAGACAACCACTGTGCCCAGGGGTTTGAGGCACCAGGACAGCAGCTTCAGACCCCAGGGTGTGCTGTGCTGCTGCGTAGCTGCCCAACACACACTCCCCTTACTTTGATAATGAGACCTCAAATTTCCTTTGAGTTCTCCGTGACTATAGTGGGGAAGAACAGACCTGGGTTGGCCGACAGCTCTGTTGGCCAATCAAGCCATCCTTCCCCTTGGCCAGCGGCTGGCTCAAAAGGTGGACATGTGGCCCGATTCAGCCAACAAGAATCTGGCCTGGAAACCGTGTGAAGTGTGGGGCATGTGAAGCTCCAATTCCCATCACAGGGGGTCCCAAGACATAGACCTGGAGCTTCTGGTGGTGGAGAGCCCAGGGATGAAGCCATCAGACCAGTGGCATTGTATGAGGCCCTGGATCAAACTTTGCCTGAAGCAAGTTCTTTCAGAATCTCCTCCTTCAGGTTATAGAAGTCAATAACATCAATTATTATTTTGTGCAATATAGTGCTCATTAGTTTCTCTCCCCCCATCTCCCATTTTACCTCTTCATCTCTTTCCAACCTCTATAGTGGAAACAATAATGCTTCCTTCTATAGAGTCCCTTCCAAGTATGGAATGAGAAGAAGCACCAAGTACCATGCCCAACCAGAATTTAGGAGCAAGACATTGACAATCTATTTTCTCCTCTAGTCCTTATCATAATGACAGGAAACTGACTCTAGCTCTTCCACCATTGCTCAGATAAAAATCACATTGGCCTAGCAAAAATGGTGAGCCTGACCTCTGGGCAGAGATGATGGATCCAAGGAAACTGCCTAACCCAAGCTAGCTCCAGCATTTCCACTCTCTGGGGAGTAAAAAGGAGAAGGAGGATCCCAAAGACTAAAAGCTGAAGACTGACTGTGTGATCTGCCTTTGCAAAAAGCCCCATAGACTCTACTAGCTTCCCACCCGGGGCTGCTCAGGTTTTCCCTGGATCATATGAGACATCCAGCACTGCCAAGAGATCCTGTTTCAGTAGCACAACTTGACACTTTTGAGACAATTACTTTTCACTGCCCTACTGCCCCTGCCCAGTCCAGTCTTGTCCTGTGCGCAGGGAGCTGCTGACAGCTACTATTTCACAGCCCAGATGACCCAGGAGGATGCAGAGACAGGAAGCTTCATCTTCTTGGCGGTTTTTTAGCTCCAAATCAAAGAAACAGACTTGGAAAGATAGGTACAAAGTCAGAAGGTCCTGCTCCAAGCAAAGGCAGCCCAAGCCTGGGAGAGCAGAGGCAGTCCATGAGGAGGGAGGGAGGGGAGCTGCTGGAGGGTTTCCAGGCAGGTCTGCAGTCTGGTTGTGCTGGTGGTGCTGGGGGTGGGGGTGTCCGAGAAAATCCCAGACAGAGTTGGGGAATCTGAAAGCAAAAGGGTTTTTGTGTCACCTTTCTCAGTGGGTGGAGCTGAGGGAAATGGCTAGCTGGGTGTCTGGTCAGGTGATCCTGGCAGTCTCTGAGGCTGTGTCTGTCCCTCTTTCTAGAGAAAGAGCTGCAGAAGCTAGTAGTCTGAGCAAAGAGAAGTAGCTGAGCTTAGAGAAGCAAGGAGCAGACAGTAACCACAGTCCAGAAGTGGAATGAAGGGTGGGGCCTGAGCCCTTAAACCCTGCCTTCACGGGGCCAGCCGCTCGGGACTAATCCAACATCACTGACAGCTCCACAGGTATGCCAGGCACTGGAGCCATTTGATTCACCTGAAGCTTTGAATGGTCCACGCCTCCCACCTCAGGTCTCCATCCCACCCTCTCTGGACGTCCTCTGAGGGTACCCAGGATCCACTCTGTAAAGAGGATATGGGCTTCAAAGGCCAGAGAGGTGGAGAGATGGCTCAGCCCTGTGGGTTCCAGGACGCAGAAGGAGCCCGAACTCCAAGGCAGAGGGAGGCCTTGTGCTGCCAGCCTGAAATTGAAAGTTTCCTCCAACATCACCATTGTCTGCTCCTTGGTTCCTGGTAGGGTGTGAGCAGACAATGGGGAACTGGCAGGCCTGGTAATTAGCAGTAATTGTTTCTAATATCTGGGCGGCTGCCTGATTTCCCATCCCAGGGTGCCTTGCCAACTGCCAAGAAGCCAGGCTGGCACCCCGGAAAACCTTGGGCGTGCGATCACATTCTCTGTGGGGCTGGAGGAAGCGGGGATGGTGTACTTGGTCCCCGCTGACCAGAGGGCCAAATGCATCAGAGACCCCGGCCCCCTCTGGGAGCTTCCCTGGAGTGGGAACAAAGGCAGAGGCTACAAAATCAGACCTGGCTCTCTGCCTCAGTAGCTGCTCAGACAAGTTGCTACTGCCACTGCCCTTCAGTCATTGCGCCTATCTGTCAACAAGATCGCACAGTGACAGCCACTGAAATGCCCATGGCTTGTGGTGCATCACTTTCTAATGTTTCAAAATTCCCTGCTGACAGGATCCATTAACCACAAGTACCAAATTATGCTGACTTGCAAAGTGTCACATATATGTCCTTTTGTGCAACAGGAGTTCAAAAAGTGTTGACTGTCAAACCCTACTGCTGCTCTCAACCTGGAAGAATAAAGGACAATGATTGAGACTGGACCTTTAGCATAGTCTGAAGCCTGGCTTCTAGGGCTGTGCAATCTGGGGCAGGTTCTCAACCTCTCTGAGTTGCAGCGTCCTCCTATCCAATGGGACTAAATAGTAACTGCATTGCTGAATTGCTGGGGCTGATTCTTGAGATACCTCCGGGCTCAACCAAGAGCAGCTCCTGAATGAATCGAGGTGGGTCATGGTCTACTGGTCCCTTCCTGAGATCTCCTCCACGCTGTCTTGGTGCTTCCATGGCATTTCTGGTTCCAGACCTGTTAGGCAGGCGGGCATCTGGATGCCTGCGACCAAGCCCAGGCCATCTGGGGTGACGTGGACAGGGAGGGTGGCAGCAGCTGGGGCTTCTGGAGATGAAAGCCACATGGGCAGAGGCAGAACCCCGAATCAGGATTATACCGTGTTCTGCTGGCTTTTGATTTTGTCTTAATGGCGAAATGAGATTTCCTGCATCTCAAATCCTGTTAGTTTTGTTTTGTGGGGCTAAAACCCATTTGTCTTTTATTATTAACCTTTGAGCGGGGGCTGGCTCCTGGCTTTTCTGTGTCCTGGATAGTTAGCGAAGTAATTGGATTACTTGCAGGTTCTATGGCCATTGTCTTTTCCAGATGAATCCCCAGTCTCACTGGCATCAGAAATTAAAAGGCCACACAAGCCTGGTGACTATGCCAGGCTATGGTCTTTGGGAGTGTTAGGGGAGGCACAGAATGGAAACACAGAGGGTGAACAAATGAAGTAGTGGTACTCACTAGATACTATGTAGAAAATGGGTGAGGATGGGAGGGTAAAACTGGGAGAGAGCGAGGGAAGGGGTGACATTGTCCAAAAAGAAATGTACTCTTTACCTGACTTATTCAACGGTAAACCCTCTCTGTACATAATCTTTATAATAATTTTAAATTTTAAAAAATAAGTAAAAGGTGCTAGGAGTTCATGGGCTCCCTGTCTGCTTATTCACGTCCTTCCCCGACCATGGTCACCTGGCCACTTGCCACACCTAAAGTGCATCAAGTTCTACTGCAACACAAGATCTGCTGCTATCTTAAAAGTACTGTGCAATGCAAAATCCAGCAACAAAGATCACAGCGCGACGATCTAGTAAATATGGCGGCAGTATCTTAGACATGCCCAAGCAGAGTCCACCTTCTTCCCCACTATAACATACATCTCCAAGGTGTTGGTTCCAGGATGTCCCATGAACACCAAAACCCACGGATGCTCAAATCCTCTAAATAAGATGGCACAGTATTTGCATATAACACATGCATATCCTCTTGTATACTTTAAATAACCTCTAGTTAACTTGTAGTACCTCACACAATATAAATTCCATGTGAATGGTTGTTTTATTGCTTGGTTTGGGGAATAGGACAGGAAAAAAAAAAGATATGCACAAGTTCAGTACACATGATGCTTCCAAATGTTTTCCATCTAAGGCTGGCTGAATCTATAGATGCGGGAGTCTGATACTCAAAAGCCCTGTGCCTTGCACAGAATAGCAACCTGCAGTCTGAACTTGCTCTGGGGTCAGGTAGTCTGGGTTCATATCCTGTCTCCACCATTCAGAAGTCCTGGAGATAAACATTTCTCTGTGGGCCAACGTTTCCTTTTCTGTATAACGGAGTAACGGTAAGTTAATCCTCAGTGCTGCTCTAAGTATTAAACGGAGATAAACTCCTTAGAACAGTCTGGCACAGCCAAATGCTCAACAAATACTAGTGCTTATAAAACAAGACAGAATAAATCCCTGTCTGCTGGTCCACAGCCGTCCTCACCATGCCCTTTAGGCATGATGACTTCTGCTGGACAGCAGAGGCGGGAGGCAAAGGGGAACGGTTCTGACCACCTGCTAGCCTCCTGGGCCTTTGGTGATGAGGAAACAGTCCTGAGTATGGGGTGCTGTGGCCCCACCAGTGGCTCATGTGCCGACTTCCAGGCTGTGGGCACAGTGACCCAGACACCCAGATCCAGGCTGCCGGTGACTCAGATGTCTTAGGACAACAACCGGCAGAGAGAAACAGGTGGGCTCCAGGAATGGCTCTGAGAGCTGCTGGGCTGACAAGAGAGGGTGCGAAGGCCCTGAAGCAGATCAGGGA